GCTCACCGACCGCCTCTACAAGACCTCCCCCTGGCCGACTGCCGAGGTCGTCTCTCCGCTCGTCGGGGGCGAGATATGGGGAGATATGGGGAGATCTTGGGAGATGTTGTAGGTCGTCTCTCCGCTTGTCGGGGGCGACGCCACCTTCCTGCTCCTCTACCGCGAGCTCTACTTCCGCCACCTCTACTCGCGCCTGACGCCGACCCTGCAGCAGCGGATCGACTCGTGGGCGAACTACGAGGCGCTCTTCTCGCTGCTGCTCGACGGAGACGCGCCGGCAGATCTGGTGAGCTAAAGACGGCCGGCCGTCTTTGGTGCCGCGTCCCTTCCCCTTGAGAGGGGTCCCTCCTCCTGGGACGTTAGGCGCTCCCTAACCAGTGGATCTGGGACCTGGTCGACGAGCTCATCTACCAGTTCCAGGCGTGCAGTGGGCAGTGCTCCTAGCCCCGCCCGCGGCACCGCGCGCCAGCCAAGGGGGAGGAGCCGCCCGCTGCCCGCAGGCGTGGAGCATGTTCCGCCAGCGGCTCAAGTCGAAGAGCGCGGAGGAGATGTCCCTCCTCCAGCAGCGGAGCATAATGACCAGTGACTAGTGAACAGTGAATCATCAATACTCAGGAGATCGCCATCCTCAAGCAGCGGACCGACGTCTGGAGCGTGACCTCCGTGCTCGGCATGCTCGCGCCGGAGGGCGGGGCGGGGAGTCGAGCCACGCCATTGATTCGGCTGTCTGAGTGACTGCGTAGGTCTTGCTGCGCCGGCTCGCGGAGCGGGCACTTCTAGGAGCCTTCTAGGAGCCTTCTAGGAGCCTTCTAGGCATGCTGCACCGGATGGCGGAGCGGGCGAAGGAGCCGCGCTTCGCCTCGGTGCCGCTGTACGAGATCGGCGGCTACTTCGCGACGGTGGGGCTGCTTCGGGTGCAGTGCTTGCTGGCGGACTACACGCTCGCGCTCAAGACGGTGGAGGCTCGATCTCCTATGAGATGATTACTGTGTGTGTCACTGATCTGTTCTTGATGTGTGTAGGTGGAGGCTGTCGACCTCTCCCGCAAGGGGCTCTTCACGAAGGCGCGCCACGCCCCCCCCCCCCCCCGCCGCCGCTAGCTGACCGCTGAGCAGACTTTTCTTGCACTGCTTGAGAGCGCGCGGCTCCTCTCCTCTCACCACCTCGCCCCCACCCCACCCCCACCCACCCACACACACACACACACCACCACCACCACCACCACCACCACCACCACACCCACACACACAAAGACAGACACGGCGTGAGAGCTTGTTGGGCAGGTCACCTCGTGCCACATCTCCCCACATCTCCCCACATCTCCCCACATCTCAGGTCACCTCGTGCCACATCTCCGTCTTCTACTACGTCGCGTTCGCCTACCTCATGAGCCGCCGGTACGTCGACGCGATCCGCACGCTCTCGCAGATCCTCTTCTACATCGGCCCGCGCCAAGCAGGACCGCAGCCCGCAGCTGTGAACGGCGCCTCTTCACGCCCCTCGGCCGTGAACAGGCCGCACCAAGCAGTACCACACACGCTCCGCCCAGTTCGAGCAGATCCTCAAGAAGAACGAGCAGATGTACGCCTTGCTCGCCATCGCTATCTCGCTCTGCCCGCAGCACCAGGCGCCATCTCTCCCCATACCTCCCCATATCTCCTTGCTCGCCATCGCTATCTCGCTCTGCCCGCAGCACCAGGGGTGGGGAGATATGAGGGGATATGGGAGATATGGGGGAGATAACTCTGCCCGCAGCACAGGCGTTAAGGGGGGGAGGGGGGGGGAGGGGGGGTGTCGGTTAGGGGGTAGGGGGCGGGTGCGTAAGTCGCATGCGTACTGCGCGCGGGCAGCGCCGGCTCGCCGCAGAGAGAGACACGCACTCCCGCCACTCACTCCCGCCCCGCTGACGTGCTCGTGCACGAACCAGGCGGACGAGAACATCTCCCCACATCTCCCTACACACCCCCACATCCCCCCACATCTAACATCTACATCTCCCCCTATATCCTCGCCTCGCTCAAGCATCGATTCCCGCACGCTCGGCG